TCAGATCCGTCAGCTTGGGAATCATGCCAGAAGCATGTGCATGTGTAGTAAGCATCCTGAGAGGAGAAATGAAGACGGAATCATGGCGTGACCTTCTACCGTGGGGGGTGGTGCTTTCTCTCTCTCTCTGTAATGAGCACACAAACCTTCTTAAAAATAAATTATCATTTTAGGGGATCAGCAGATGACATAATGGTTACATTGCTGAACTCCCACAGAGCTGACCATGGTTTGAGTCCTGGGCCAGAGGCTTAAACTCAAGCTAGACAGTTATGGACACTGGAGACAGTGTGAAAGGAGAGTGGGAGAGGGGAAGAGTGTATAGAAAGAAATTAGGGAGAAAATAGAGAAGTACGATATTTGTGGGACAGAGAAATGATTCATTACCTGTTGATAATGTGTATAGTATTCTCAACTAGACTAGTCTGAGGTGTTTTTCATGTTGTAAATTCTCTCTGTGAGCTAAATGATGTATAGTGAATGAATGAATAAAATAATAATTGGACCAGCAGTTGGCATAATGGCTATGTCACTGGACTCCCATGTAATTGACCGCAGTTCGAGTCCTAGACCTGGTGACTTAAACTCACACCAGGAACGTGTGTGTGCGTGCCCAAGATCCCAAGAGGAGAATGGAGAAGAAGGAATTGTGGCATGGCCATGCCCCCTGGGGGGTGATTTCTCACTTTCTGTCTCTGTATTTCTCTATCTTTCTGGCAAGTGAATGTGCCCTATAGCAAAAGCCTTTCCAAAATAAATAAATAAATTATAATAACTTAAAAAATTTTAAATGATATATAGTGATTAAATGTATAAAACAATTATTTATGTAAAGAAAAAAATATGGAATTTTGAGGTATTGTACTTCAATTGCTTTTTCATAAAATTTATTCCTATTGTCTTAGATTTTATATTTGTGTTCATGTATGAATTCAGATATGAATTCAAGAATTCATATTTTGTAAAATTTTCATGTATGTATACATGGAAATGTTTGATTATGCAAACATTTGTCTAAATGTGTCTAAGTGTGAAAAGTATACATTTAAAGTATTGTAGCGCATTTTGCTGTAATAAATGCAATAAATATTTTCATTGACTAAACAAAAGTCAACAAAATCAATATCCTCACATGGAAAGCAAAATCCTCACTCATGAATTGGACACTTTCAAAGAAAGATAGGAGTTCCTCAAAGACACACGTCTATTCTGCATCAACAAGACCTTTCAGATTCTAAAAGCATCAGTATCACAAGAATTTTCTTCTTACCACAGTGATAATAAATTTTAAATTAACAATGCAAATACAATAAAAATATTTGGAAACCAAAATGTATATTCTTATTTGTCCTTTAAAGATGAAGTTAATAATTATGATAATTCTAAACATCAAACTTGAGAGATTAGCTAAAATCATGAAAAATATATTTATTGGCAAAATCATATTTTTACAAAATAAAGGTTTATAATAAGTAAGTTAAATATTCAACTCAAGAAGATATGATGCCCAATAATAAAAATAAAGATAAAATTTATATAAGAGCAATCTTTATTGAAGAAATAAAGAGTTATAACAATCTTTAAAAGAAATTTTTTAAGAAAGAATCCTGTAAAATGCATGACTAACCATATACAAAGAGGAAAAGGTCTATATACACAATGTTAAGAATAAAAGATATAATAAAAACATAAAGGTTTTAAAAATAATAATAGAATGGATAAACTTTATTTCAATAAATTTAAAACTTAGAAGGTATTACCTAAACTTCTTTATGTATAAGCAGAAAATTTATACAACAAATAAACAAAATATTGAATTGGTTATCAGAATCCTCCTAAAACTGAAGAACCCCAAGTCATATATTTTTAAAGGTAAATTCTACAAATCTTTCAGAAAAGAGTAATCCTATTCTTTTTTTCTGACTCCTTTACGTGGTCCTCATAGCTTCAGTAGGTCTATCTGGTCTTGCTTAGTGAATTATATTTCTTCTGAAGACCTGATGAAAAAAATATCTAGAAATATCCAGGTCAAATATAACATAAAAGTCAGGCAGTACTAGAGAGAGTGAGGAAAATGTATGAGTTCCACCTGCCCTAAATAGCAAATAATCTATTTGGAGGGTTAGAGGTTGGGGAATTTTTGAAATTGTAATGAATCCAAGATTATGGAAACTGTTAATGGGTATATGGGCCCTGGAGATCATTCTATTGCTCCATATTTATATTCATGAACCCTTCAGTGAAGGAAGACATCACCTTGCCATTAACACCCCTCCAGGGAAAACCAGAGATAAGCACAGCTGAGGACTCCATTTCCCTGGAAGGGAGAAGTTTCAGCATGTGTGGTAGATCTTTATCCCTCCCCTACATCAAACTTCAGAGCATACTGAAAGGTGGCTGAGCTAAGCAAAGAGTAAAATCATATCTTCTGAGGGAAATGCATCCATAATTCCAAGGATCTTCTTTGAAGAAAGGGTTTTAACACTTACAGATGCTTTCTATTTATTTGGGAAGCTTCATCCAACTCATCTTCAGTTTGTTTTGTTTGTAGTTGTAAGTCTGAGGTAAGTTTTTTTTTTTACATTTTCTAGTCTTTATTCATTATACAACTTCAGTTAGACCATAATGAAAAATCACAATGCAAAATGTAATAGTTATTGTCTGTTAATGCCAAATTTCTATTTATAGAAATAGCTACTAGAATAATGAAAAAGTTTTCATCTCTTTTAGATACACTTAATATGAGTAATTTGCTTTGATACATTTGGTAACAAATTTGTTATACAAATTGTAAGATAAAATAGCTGTTTGAAAGATTTGCTTGTAAAAGTTTTCATTGCCTCATGAAATTAAGTAGTAATCATAAAATAATAGGCCTAATTGATTACAACATGGGTTTACAGAAAAAGAAAGATATTTCAAAGGCTTTATTTTTGAGTGTGAAATTTCTTACTCTGACTTATTTAAACATGAGAATTCTTGTATTTGTGAGTTCTTTTATCATTTTTATTAATCCCAGAAAGTTATACATGGCAGCAAACAAGCACTAACTTACACTTCTACCCTCAGCCAAGACACATACCAGAATATAATATATGCTCAGTAAATGCCTGTATGTGTTTTGTTCTAGCTACGTGAAGCCTTCATCATGTGAAATTTTAGAAATAGCGCTGATATCTTCACAGGTCTCGAATATTGTTAGAAAGTTGGAGCGAAAAGTAATAGCTCTTAAAATACATTTAATATCACTAACTCCTGTAGTTGAAAGAGAGCTTAACGTTATTCCAGTTTAACTTCTCATATGACAGAGGAATCCCACCTTGAATGGGTGTTAATCAGCTTTCGGCATTCACATCCATAAAGTGCAGTGTTAATAAAGCAATCACTTTTCAAACTTTTCAATTGGATTTTGATTGTTATACAGTTACTTTGTTAGACTGAGATAATACTATCTCCCAATAATTTCTACTTTGAATTCTGATTCTTCCTCCGAAGCCAAGCTAAAGCTTACTCACTTATACTTAGGAACACTTTTCAAATATTAACTTCCAGAAAAACTGAATGGGGAACTGAATAGGAACTCAGTTAGGAATTTTTTCTGAGATTATTGTAGTGAAATTTAAGTGGATTCTGGACTGAGGATGATTATAAAAGTCAGACAGCATCTCTGGTGTCCACACTTCCTGTCCATGCCTTTATATTGCCCAATATTTCGGTTTCTGTCATAGTGTGGACATTCAGTATATATTAAGTGGATACCCTTCAATGCCTCTCTTTCAGAGTCTGACTTGCTTCACTTATCCACTTTCTATCAAATGCTAGAGTCTCACTGCGTTTTTTTTTTTTTAATGGCTTAGTAGTATTTCTTAGTGTATATGTGCCACACTTTTTCAATCCATTCATCTGTTTGGGGATATTTGAGTTGTTTTCACATCTTAGCAATAAATAATGCTGCAATAAACAGAGATATGCATGTGTTTTTCTACCTGAGTGCATTCCTATCCTTTGAGTAGAGACCAAAAAGTAACTGTGGATATCAAAGACAGTGTGGCAGGAGGGTAGGAAAAGGCAGAAAGTGAGGGTGAGGAAATCAAGGGGAAAAAAAGAAAAGAGTAAAACAGTAAAGGAACACAAAATGAAAAATTATCTGTTGAAAATAGTATGTATGGTAATATCTTCGATCGAGCCAATATACAGTGTGTTCTGAATGGGAAAATTCATTTTGTATGCTGTAATGATATATAGCAAATGAATGTAAAATAAATTTTGAAAAAGAAAAAAGTCAGATAAAGATACAAAATGCATGCACACATGCACACACATATATAGAATATAAATATACATGTGAGGCATAAGAGCGAAGACAGATAACTATGGTATGATCATGAGACAAGATGAGCAAAGCAGACCTCTGTGGGCATAAAAGACAAATCTCTTTTTAAACCCAGATATGGGAAATCGCCATCTCTCAACTTAGTTCAAGATTATGCTCTCAATAAAGGTCACAAATCTAATAAATTTCTATACTGAGGGCACAAATTTGTGAGAATACTTGATCAAAGGATTGCTGACATGCTTCTCATCCTTCTTCCCATCTTCATGTATAGATATATAAGATACCAGCACACAGGTACACACATGGACATATGAACACTTTGATATAGAAAATACTTGGCCAAACATCTGTATAATCATCACAAACTGAGCAAAGTGTCTGAGTTATGATGGCAATTTAAGTATTAACATATTCTGAGTTGTGGTAAAAATTGCTTTGTAAGTTAAAGAGTTAATAAGTACTGTAATGTTGTACTATCATACAATTATCAGAGATAACAGAATTTCCTCTGTTTCATTTGTCATGCATAGTTTTTACTTAGGCTACAGTTCAAAGTCATCGAAGGCATTTTGTTAGGAAAATACAGATGACACACGTGCACCATGCTCAAACACTTGCTTCAGACACTCAGGTTTGGTGACTCCATTGTCTCTTTCACAGTGAAATGGGGCAAAACCAGACTGTGGTCACAGAGTTTCTGCTACTGGGATTTCCCCTTAACCCAAGGACTCAGATACTTCTCTTTGGGCTCTTCTCCTTGTTCTATGCCTTCACTCTGCTGGGGAACGGGATCATTCTGGGACTCATCTTGCTAGACCCCAGACTGCACACCCCCATGTACTTCTTTCTCTCACAATTGGCCATTGTTGACATTGCCTATGCCTGCAACACAGTGCCCCAGATGTTGGTCAACCTCCTCAATCCAGCCAAGCCCATCTCCTTCACAGGCTGCACGACACAGACCTTTCTCTTTTTGGCTTTTGCTCACATTGAATGTCTTCTCCTGGTGGTGATGTCCTATGACCGGTATGTGGCCATCTGTCACCCACTCCGATACTCTGCCATCATCAGCTGGAGAGTCTGCATTACCCTGGTGGTAGCTTCCTGGACTTTAGGAGTCTCTCTGGCCCTCATACATCTAGTATTACTCCTACCATTGCCCTTCTGTGGACCCCAAAAGGTTAATCACTTTTTCTGTGAAATTATAGCTGTTCTCAAACTTGCCTGTGCAGATACCCACATCAATGAGGTTATGGTCTTGGCTGGGGCTGTGTCTGTGCTGGTGGGACCCTTCTCATCAATTGTGATATCTTATATTCATATTCTATGTGCCATCCTCAGGATCCAGTCAGGGGAGGGACGCCAGAAGGCCTTCTCCACCTGCTCATCCCACCTCTGTGTGGTTGGGCTCTTCTATGGCACAGCCATTATCATGTATGTTGGACCCCAATATGGGAACCCCAAGGAGCAGAAAAAATACCTCCTACTGTTTCACAGCCTTTTCAATCCCATGCTCAATCCCCTGATCTACAGTCTGAGGAACAAAGAAGTCAAAGGTGCTCTGAAGAGGATGCTCGAAAAGAAGAGAATCTTATGAAAGTCTAATAGAAAAATAAAACAGCTAAGCCTAAAGAGATCTGAGAAGTCATATCATTTAATATCTACCCATTCATATCATTTACTATCTAAAATATAAATATGCTCCAGGAAATCCTTCCCATCTTGAAATTTTCCTACAGGTCTCTCTCAAAAAAGCGTATTCTGTTTTCCTCTGTCTAACACTGAAGATTGATGCTATTCAAGTGACTACATGTCTTGACACTAGCTGTATATTGTATACACTTTTAATATGCTGTGTGAAGTGATCTGAGTAAAAACAAGTGAATTTATATAATTTTTGTTCTGTAAAAAGAAAAAAACAGAAAAAAATGAAGTATTGGTAGAGTGTTTAAGATATGGAAGTTGAGAGTGTTTGATCACAGTTATTTAAATATTTTAAATTTAGCAGAAGCATCTACTTTAAAAATAGGTCTATATCTCAAATCTCGAATATTTTCATATTTTCCTATGATAGTGATATTTTCCAAAGCATAAGCAATTAGATTAGGAAGAGCATGTACTGTGATGCCACTTAGAACAATGAAACCCTGTCAGATGTCATGCTAACAAATATTGGAGTTTTCTCTATCCCTCTTTCTCTCTGGTTCTGAAGTGTTGGTGGAGATCCATGGGGTGTAAAACTGAATGGATGAGAGCAGAATTTAAGAAACTGGAAATTTTCAAAAGAGCTATGTTTTCCTTCACTGCTTTGGTTAGTCATAGCTTATGAAAAATGATAAAAACTCGGAGAGGCCATCCTAGAAAACAAGAACAAACTAACTACTGTTGATCAATGATACTAGAACTTGAAATGATCAAGAATAGCCTGTTTTTTTTTTTTTTAATAAAGATATTTAAGTAGGTAAAATTAACTTTAAACTCTTCTAATTAATTATAGAAGTGTTGGAAAATGATAAGAATAGGAAAAGAGGTCTAAAGACACTATTGTGTTTTTTGGGTTTTTTTGAGAGGTTTTCGCTATAGGGCGTGTGCACTTGCCAGACAGACAGAGAGGGACATAGAGACAGAAAGTGAGAAATCACCCCCCAGAGAGGATGGTCACGCCGCAATCCCTTCTCCTCCATTCTCCTCTAGGGATCTTGGGCACATACGCACACGCGCCTGGCGTGAGATTTAAGCCACTGGGTCTGGGACGTGAACCGCGGTTGACTACGTGGGAGTCCAGCAACATAGCCATTACGCTAACTGCTGGTTCCCTAAAGACACTATTGTTTTTGAAATTCTTTCTCAAAATAAGTATAACTTAAAATCTAAAAATGCATAAAAGGAAAAAGTCACATTTTAACACCTTTTTTAATGAGAAAATATGCTTGAAGGAAACATTACATGGATTTATCACTCTTGAAGTATCCCATAGACACATCTGCTATACACGAATGATCCCTTAACCAAGAAAATGCTAAAAACACATGTGCTTTGGGTTTAGATAGGCCTGCAATGTTAAAGTTTCTGCCAGTTGCTAGATTTGCAAACTCATAGTTTACTTAAATTCTTTGGTTTTAGACTGATTAAGTATAAAATAAGATCACTAATGCCAAACCCACAGGTTTGTTGTGAAGCTAGGAGGAAATACTATGTAAAAATCTCATGAATACATGACTAACTAGTACTCAATAAATGGGTTTTATTAATATTATCAACTACACACATTTATCATGTCTCTAAACAACAAGGACAACAACTTATAAATGAAACAAAGCACGGACTTCCTGTGTTATCAGAAAGGAGCAGGAGTATTACAAAACAGCCTTTTAGCTAATGCAGAATGCCATGATGTTAAATAAGTGACTTGAAACCCTTTCTTTACAATATCAATTCTCTAAAGAAATAATTCATATAAACAGGTACATAGAGAAATGCAATTCCACCTTGCTAAAATTCACAGATTTATGTCTGTGTATGTACGCACACATTCACACACATACACACATATTAACATGAGTTAATGTTAATGTTAATTAACACTATGTTAACATATGAGTGTGCAGGTGCACATGTACATTGGGCTAGGTCCTGGAAATGGAAGGGTGAGTACAACAGTTTTCCTATTATTGTCATATGCACTGTCTAGTGGGGCACATAGGGCAGATATATGAATGGAAATTAGCAATGCCAGATGCTAAGCTAATCACTGACACTGGACCTAAAGTAGCCAGAGGAGGGTAACTCACCCAAAACGGGAGTGGTTTAAGAAAGCCTTTCTGGATTAGAAGACCACCTAATTAATTAATTAAACGATAAGTAAGAGATGGCCAGAAAGGTCTGAAAGCAATGGAATGGCTGAGAGGAGTATCTCCTCTAAGGAGTAGAAGAACCAAAAGCCAAAGGGATGGGGCCGGCAGTTGGTGTGGTGCTTAAAGGCACTGGAATCCCACATGACTGACTGTGGTTTGAGTCCCAGAACTGGCAGCTTGCTTTCTTGATTTTCCTGTCTCTCTTTCACTCTCTCTCACTCTGTCCCTCCAGAAAGGTCTGAAAGCAATGGAATGGCTGAGAGGAGTATCTCCTCTAAGGAGTAGAAGAACCAAAAGCCAAAGGGATGGGGCCGGCAGTTGGTGTGGTGCTTAAAGGCACTGGAATCCCACATGACTGACTGTGGTTTGAGTCCCAGAACTGGCAGCTTGCTTTCTTGATTTTCCTGTCTCTCTTTCACTCTCTCTCACTCTGTCCCTCTCTGGTCAAATTAAAAAAAAATTAAAAAAAGAAAACAAAGGGGTAAGCAGCATGTGTACTCTGGGGGGAGGGGGAACTAAACACGGCCCAGTGTGTTTCAGATAAAAAAAATCAAGGTGGGGACTCATGAGTAATGAAGCTGGAAGGAAAATGGCACAGAACTAATGGTCTCGAAATATATCCAATATGAAGTGTAAGACTGGATTACAAGTATGAAAACACCAAGCAATTAGACTTCTTTTAGAAAGAGGCTAGGTGGTATGCGGATCCAAAGCCATCAGACTGGTAGCAGACAAGTCCGTTTCCAAGCTCCCATATTTATTCAGGCAAGAAAGCAGGCTGGAGGCTGAAGTAGAGAGGTGCATGCGAGAATAAAGTGAGGGCGACTGAACTGAGGGATGAGCAGGTAACATGGGCACGGTTAAAGAACTGGTTGGGTATAAAAAGAGTGCGGGAAGAATTTTTTTTTTTTTTTTCATGTTCTAGGGAATGTATGCTCATCAGAGACAAGACATTGAGGAAAAGTGAGAATCACCCTCCCTCCCCCAGGGGGGATGGCCACACTGCAACGTGTGCACAGATGCCCGTATGCTTTTCAAGCCACTGGGTCTGTGATTAGAATTGTGCAGCTGGCCATGGGAGATCTAGCTACCTTAACTGCCACGTCACAGGAAGAATTTTCAAAAACATTGTAATTGTGACATACAGAGAAAAGCACAGTCATAATTTCAGCTCAGAGAAAGATCACAAAATAAATCACCCATTTAACCACTTTTTGGGATGAAAAATAAAATATATCTGCATCTCAGAAGCCATTTTATTCTCTTTCCCAATTTCTGAAACTTTCCTCCTCCCACAGGAGAGTATTACCCTGACTTCCAATAGCAAAATTAGTATTATATGCTCTTGGACTTTACTTAAATAGAAAAGATGAATACATGCATCCTTTCTTACCCTTCTTTTACTTGTTATTGTTTGTAAGATTCACCTACATCGTTCTGTGTAGCTGTAATTCATTAATTTTCTTTATTTTATAGCATTATGCTTTATGAATATATCATAACTTATCTTCTCTATTCTGACAGATACTTCAAATATTAAAATAACGTGGAATACATTTGTGGTCTAATGAGGGAAACTGGCATTATTATGATAAAAGCACACATGAATATATTTCTGAATCACAAACTTATTTTTTTCTTCTAAAATAAAGAACCAAGACCAGGAAGTGGTATGGATGTTAGAGTGCTGGAATCCCACATGGCTCACCATGCTTGGAGTCCCAGAACTGTCAGTTTGCTTTCTCACTTGCTCCCTCTGTCTCTCTCTCTTTCTTTGTCTCTTCGGTGAACACACATGCCCTGTATCAAATTAAACTGATAACGACAATAAATAAAATTCAATAATTATTTTTAAAATAAAATAAATAACCAAGAATAAGGACCTTATTCTCCCAACAGATGGCATGATGGTTAAGAGTGCTGGACTCCCATACAGCCAATTGCAGTTCAAGTCCGGGAGCTGGCAGCTTGCTTTCTCACTTTCTGTCTCTCTCTCTCCCTCTCTCACTCTGTCCCCCTCTGGTCAAATAAAAAAAAATTAAATACATAAATAAGTAAAGTTAAATAAAAATAATTCTTAAAAAAAAAAAAAAAGGACCTTATTGGGTCTATCCCATATGCTAGTGGTTAAGGGAGATAGATCCCACATGGCCAACCGTGGCTTGAATCATGGCCTTGGTGGCTTGAAAAACATACTAAGCATATGTGCATGTGTGCCCAAAATCCCAACATGGTGGAAAATGGAAGAGAGCAGATAATAGTGTGACTACGCCTCATCAGGGAGTACTTCATCCTAATCTCTCTCTCTCTTTCTCTCTCTCTGTATATCTTTCTCTGGCAAGCTCACATATCTCTGGCAATTAAAAAAAGGGAATTATTTATTCTTTCATGATTACCTTATTCTTTTTTAAATTTTTATAATTATTCATATCTTAAATCGTTATACATCATTTGGATTGTGAAGAGACTTTACCCAGCATGATATACACCTCAGAGATTACCTTAATCTTAATGACTAGCAATAAGAAGTTAGGAGAATGGGGAAGGTGAAGTTCTGTGTGTGTGTGTGTGTGTGGGTTGAGATGGCATGAATTTTGAACTTTTCTATTGAAGATAGCTCTGCTTTGCTGAATTTAAAGAGCTCTTCTCATGCCATCTCATTCTGGTTCATATATTGGTTTTTCTTTTTTTTTAAATATTAATTCTTTACATTATCCATATATTGTTTTTTTCTGAGGCTTGT